CCATATATGGCAGTGCCTCCCCCGGGTTTGAACCACCTCATTGCCGCTGGCTCCCACTGGCTAATTATCAACCGTGAGTTACCTCAAGCTCGCAGACTAACGATACCATCTCAAAAGTTATATTAACACCCCGCGATTTACACTTTATTGCAAACATAACGAGTAAGCAGTCCTTTGGAAAGACAAAAAGTCGAAGCAAAACTCTACCCCAAAATTTAATGCGTGAATTTTCAACACCAACTATTCACAATTTTCCACCCAAAACGTTAACCTCGGGTGCTTTCCATTATTCCAGACCGACCGGTCGGGGACCAGTGGGAATACCCGAGAAAAATGGAACGACATTTTCCGATCAAACCGGGTCAACCAAGAAGAATGGCTCTTACCATTTGTTATTCCTTTTCTGAATTCCCTACATAAGTGAAGAGAAGCAGCGCAACGAACCGGTTTGTCAAAATGGAACGGCAAATTTCGGTCCGAGCGCTCGGACTGGTCAAGGTGGACCACCTCCAGAGGTGGTCACAAATATTCCAGTCGGAAGGAACCGAAACTGACCTTTCCATTTGACTTCCCGCCGAAATTTCCAGAATCTTTGGCATTATGGAAGCACCCCTCGCTTCAACAGTGGTTTGCATGCAAGGCAATAGAAACTACTTCAGTTGTTGTGTACTAAGTCCGTAACAGTTACTGTTTTCCCTCGCACTATTTGGTTTTGTAAATTGTTTCTTTTTAACGTAGCTTCATTACTGTGGCATATCTTGAAACCTTGGGACGGTACTTTTCATGTCTGTCACTGATTACAATAGTACATCTCAGTTCCTCCCAATCATAACCTCTTTGGTGTTCTTTTTTTTCTAACTTAATAAACTACAGAGACTACACTGTATTTGAAAGCAATTTAATTTACACATTTTACAGAAAAAGATTCATAAGAAAAACAAGATCTTAGTCATTGAACATAAGACATCTTATCACGTCTTAGACTGCGAGCAGTCTCTCTTTTCCTCGAAAATCCCACTTGACACTGACAGTCACTCTCGCACGCTTACTTGATTTGCGTTCTTCCCCGCGGATTTTCGAGGAAAAGAGAGACTGGTCACAGTCTAATCACGTCTAAGTACACCGAACTGAACATTCTGTCCCCGTCTTTTGCGAAAAAAAATTGTCAGAAAAATCTGCTCTCATGTCAGTCAAGATATTGCTCCTGAGATGCGAAGTTCGCCATTCCCATCGCCTGCTTTTTTTTCAATATTTGAAAAGAAAAAAGAAAGCCGTCAGTAATTAAACTATATTCGAGGAGAAATTCTGCTCCCCAGTCCATCTATTCCATATTCCTTCACATCTTCCTTGAAGCAAGTCTCTCTTTCTTGCCCAGGTTTGGGACCAACCAGAAACAGTTAACCTCTTTTGGCATGCCATAGTATCTTTCCTAAAATGTTGCATGTTAACAGAAATAAACGATCTCGCCTTTATAATATCTTTCCTATAACATTGCGTGACCGAAAGATACGATTTCGTGATAATCCAAAAGAAAAGATGGCGTGACAATCTAAACAACATCTTTGAAGGAACCTAACGCAATTGGCATTGTGTCACGTATCTTGATCTCTGCCAGGAACAACCTCAATGCCCATACTTCTTGTTGAGCCGATGATTATCTTGCACAAGCTTTCCATTGGTACATTCTTCATCGACGAGTCTTGCTTCTTGATTTTGGCAATTTCATAAATCTGCTTCAGGGTCACTGTACCAGCAACTTCTCTGCCTAAGAGTACAGGGAAGAACAATAAGGCTCAGAAAAGTTTGAAATGTGTCTTCTCAAAAGACTCTGACTGATAATTTTCAGTCACATGTTCTTTCCCAGTACAAATTCTGTCCAGACCCCAAATTCCAATCCTATTCCCATTCTTTTGTTCGTGATTCCCAGTCCNTGACAAATATGGCCTCCTCCTAATGACATTTACATAATGCATGTACTTGAACAAAATGATACTGCTGGTCAAAATCGAGCCGTCGGTGATCAGGTTAACATAGCACCTCCACCTGAGAAGAACAGACTTGTTTACTCGCAAACTGCAGGGATCTCACAAAGATTCAGCAATAAAAAAACTATTTGAAATATGAAGAAAGTGCCTCCATTGTGTTTTCTTGGGGTTCAAGGTCTTTGAATAGAAGATTTCATCAAAGTAACAATTCTCGGTCTGCCACGTGCTCGACGATGTTGCGAGCAAATTGTTTTCCAGTTCTTTCCCAATGCTCTGATCAATGCATGTTCTCCTGGTAAGTTCAAAACTGGAGTAAATTGATTGCGGCAAAAATGTGGAAATATATTTCCGGAGTTTCTAGAGTTGTCGACGAGAAAAAGAATGAAAAAGTCCCAAAAGCTGCCTTTGATACGAGGGAATGTGGGCGAGAGAAGAGTGGTCCGGGTGAGTGCATTTTGAGGGTCACTCGCCCGAATGGCGAGTGTTCTCAAAATTAAGTGTCCAACCCTGCTCATTGTAATTACAAATAATTTTTTCTAGCTAAAATAGTTGTGACATTGCTAGTATTTCTGGTGCAGCAGCTTTCAATTAGGTTCCAATTCTCAAACTGAAACACTTTGGGAGCACAGCCCAACCTCAATGGGAAATCGAGGATCAGAGAAATCGTGGATCAGCCCCTGCCAATCAATGAGTTTTATCCAGCTACAGATGGACATTACAGTTTAGGTTTGGAGGGCAGAATAACTGTTGTTACTGTTAGAAACACTATCCTGAGATACTACTCTCAAATACTAACATGAGGTTCGAGAAATTATACAGCTTTGGTGAATATATAACAGACAGGGTTTAAAATTTCTACAACAAAACAGACTACTTGTTAAATTTTACCAAAGAAAGAGAGAACAAAAAAAACGAACTGGATTGTGAACCGACCAAAACTAAGCTTGACTTTTTAATTGCGCCTTAATCTTTCGTACAAATACAAGTTCGAGAAATCGCGAAAAAGCTTAACTATAGGGGCATTTATTTTGTAATTTAGCAGCTATAACGCTACCTGATATCACACAAAAATTACCTTGTAATGGATGATCGTGGGGATCGGAACTCCAGTTATGATGTGTTTAGTTCGTTCGTTGAACTCTTTGCAAAATTGAGCTATGTT